AAAGACAATGCTATGGCTCCACCGCATTCGGCTTCGTTTCCTGGGCCCAGGGAGTCTGCACCTGGGCTTCTCTGGCAGCGCAGTTGGGCCGTGTCGCTAACTCTGGCTAATGGCCCATAAGCCGGGGTGATGTGTGTCGCTTCCGTAGCTGAGGCACAGAAGAGTAGATAGGAGGTTTCCGTGCCACTTGTCCCGGCCGCGGTAACCAGGAAGCCCTGTGCTCCAGACAGCACAGTCTCGAGACACAGGCAGCCTGGGTCCCTGAGTCACCGCTCGGAGGAGAGCTGTGTGGAGCATTCCCAGATCTGCAGTGGACCTTGTTGATGAGAAATGAACCTTTACACGTTAAGTGCGAGATGTAGGCACACCTGAGCCTAACCTTATGAACACATCTGAGAACCGGTTCATCTCTTTGGTGGGACAAAGCTGCACTCCTTCACACATTCATTCACCCACACCACGCTCACTTGCCAATGATTATGGAGAATTGTAACTCCAGCCTGGCAGCGCCGACTTCTCCCTGAGGCCCAGAAGCACGGTCCCTGGAGCCACAATACAATTAGCGACCCACAGAAACGTTTTCATTTTAATTTCCTTTAAAATTAGAAGAAAAAAACAAATACAATAATAATGAATACGTGATAATGAATCCAACCTGGATTATATTCATCTTCACACTCAAGCAAATATGAAATAGAATTTTTATGGAGGAGGAGACCCATGAAAGCAAAGGGGCCCAGGGCCCACGAAAGTCACAGAGCTGCTGGACGCTGGACCCTGGCCTAGAGAAGATCCCCAGGCTGTCTCAGGGTGCGGCCCATCTGCTCTCAAAAGTCTCCTAAGTGAGACCCAGGGATGGAAGAAGCCTGCATAGGGTTCCCCTGGCTGAGACGAGCAAGGGCTGAGGTCGCCGCACTTTGAGGCTTTGCTGGAGGAGAGGAGCACAAGCATTGGGAGTGATGGAGTGACGTCTTCTGAAGGCGCCCTGAAGAATCAGCCAAAAGCAACCCAAACGCACACGCAAAGCACACGGCACTGGCACTGGCACTCCACGGGCAAGTCCCCCTGCAATGGACCCCAGAGCTCACCGTCTCCCGAACCCACACCTTTACGAGCACCTCAGTCACGGGGGCGTTTCTTCCCTGCAGACACTCCTCTCAGAGACTTGAGACGATGCTCCCAGGCGGACCTCCTGGCCTCAGGGCCTGGCTCAGCTCTTACGAGCTATGTGTCTTTGAACAAGTGGCCAGTGTCTCTGTGCCTGGTGGTCTAATCAGTGAAATGAGGGTAACAATGGTAACAACCTCCCCGGGCGGTTTGAAGGGTTCAGTCTGAGGGCACTTGCCAAGTGCCTGGTGTATAGTGACCTCGTGACACATGTTGTCATCTTCTGCTGCTGCACCGCCCCAGGAGGCCGTGATTCCCAGTGTAGCTGCCGTGTGAGCCGACTCCCAGCTCACCGTTCAGTACAGTGTGGCTGCAGGAGAGCGGCCCCCATCTGCAGGGTGGTCAGCATTCTGGGGTCAAGGGGAGCCGTGCTGTGACGCGGCCGTTGAGGGTTTGGACTCCGGAGCCAAACTCCTGGGGTTTGAGTCCAGTTTCTGCCCCTTACCAGTGAGGCCTGGGCAAGTCACTCAACCTGACCATGCCTCGGTTTCCCCTGGGTTGTCGTGAAGATTGAGTGACATAACGTGTACTGTCCCTTAGATATCCCTTAGCTGCACCCTTAGAACAGTGCTCAGCACAGAGTAGGTGTTCAATAAATGCTGTCGTCCTTGTCACTGTTATTGTTTATATTATTACTGTTTTCTCTTGCTTCTTTGTCTTGAAATAGCTCCTTCATAAAGTGCCAAAGAAACTGCTTAACGGTGTCTGGAGAGGTCTCTTCTCTTGGCTGTGAGGTTTGCACACAGAGCTCTCCGTCTCCTTCTATTTTCAGTTAACTCCTGACTCCCTCTTCGCTAAGCCCCCAGCCAGCCCCAATTGCTCCCCGGGTGTTGGGACTACTCTCCCCATGGAGAGCAAAGACACCTCCCCTCCATCATCCCCAAACATCCTGGAACCAGGGCTTCACCAGAAACCTGGTTCACCAGAAACCGGGGCTTAGAAACATCCGTGGAACTGGATTTGTGTAGATGAGTGTTTTGAGGGGTTTTGATTTAACACGTTTTCTGAGATAACCCTTATCCAGTAACTCTAGTTCTATCTAGCTGTTTATATTATATCTAAACAACCCGAGGAAGTGGCTGTTCTGCTTAGTAGAACATCCGACTGAAGGGGGTCACCAGTGTGCCATGTAGGATGCACCACGCTCTCCCGGAACACGAACACTTCCAAATGATAGCTACACTGCACGCTTCAGATTGCTCTGTGACGAGCTGGTGGGCAGGATTTCACACCTGTGGTTTCTCAGCCAACACTCCTGCTGAAGGAAGGTGGGGGCGGGAGTGGAGGCTCAGGTCACTAAGGTGCTGGACCACGGACTGGCCAAGACCCCTGGGGCTCCTCCTGCGACTGTGTCCTCCTTGCCGTAACTAGCCTAGTGGACTATAAACGATGCTTCTCGAACACCAGCTGCATCAGAACGACCCGGAGGGCTGGTAAAAACACAGATTTCTGGGCCCCTTCTCCAGAGTTTCTGATTCAGCAGGTTGAGGGCAGGACCCCAAAATTTGCATTTCTGACAAGCTCCTAGGTGATGCCAATACTGCTGGTCTGGGAACCCCACTGTGAGAACCACTTATCTAGAAATGAGAAAAGCCACATCTTCTACGAATTCATGATCAAACTTAGAGTTTTGGAACACACTCAAAACCTTGTTCCGAGGGACAGCTCAGTTTCTCCTCTTCCCCGGGTAGCGAGAAAGGCAGCTGTCTGTTAGAGGGAAGACGGGAGCCGCCACCCACGCCTGCCAGGAGAGCCCACTGTCACTCATGGCAGACACAGAACAACAAGGTGGAGCGTTCAGGCGCCAGGTGTGAATCCTGATGACCTACCGACCGAATTTTGGGCTCTCAGCCGGGCTATCAATCACGTGGCTGGCCCCAGGGTAGAATCAGTCCTAGCAGTGTCTCCCGCTGTGGTCACCTGAATTCATGGAGCCTGAAAGTTACAGCCTTGGCAGGAAATGGGAAACCAGGTTCGCTGGGCCTGCTCAACACTTCAGAGAACGGAACCGTGTGATCCAACACCCAGGTTACAGCACAGGCCCCGAGGAGCTCCCGCCAACAGCTCCTCGGCTCCCCCACCCCAAGGAGCCCGACCGCCCACTACCTCATCAGAACGCTGCTGCTGGGTCAGAACCTCGAGCTGCCCAGTTTCGGAAGACCCGGTGGGTTGAGCGGGCCCAGGGACCCGTGGCTGCTCCCATGCACGGGGAAATGGGGAAAGCACCACCAAGCACAGGGGGCGGGAGCACATCCTTCCCCAAAATACCTGCATGCTGTCCAAGGTGTTCTGGGTGAGGAGCAAAGCAAGACACAATTACAAGAAGATGTGTAAATAAAGAAAACACACGGTTCTCGGCACGTCTGCACTGCCTTTTCCGTTTTCAAGTCAAAGCACGTCAGGACTGTTGCCACATGTCAAAGCATGCACTGCCACCAGCCCCAGGGGACGTGACCTCAGCGGGACTGTCACAGAGTGGCAGCTCAGAAGGCGGATTAAAACAACACAGACGATCAAATCAATGGGCTTCGGGCGACTGGAAAAAAGAAACTACACTTTCAGCCAGCAGACTATGCAAATGAAAGTGCGGTGGGCGATTCAGGCAAGGGGAAGCCAGCGACTTTTCAGGAAGATTTATGGGGAATGGGGGCTCTGTTGCCCCTCTCCCAGGTTATGCATTTTCCCACCTGCTATTCATCACCCTCATCCCTCCAGATATTCATTAGCTAATGGACGCTTTCAAAAAATCAATTTTAATATATATGATGATAGTGAAACCTTTTCCTGCGGGAGGAATAGATTTTAAAAGGCACTGTAAGAGATGCATATATTCTGTTTTAAGTGGCTGCTATTCCCCTGGGGACAAAGGACGGGGTCATCTTAAAGGAGACAACTGCTTCCCATACCTGCGGATGGCAGGCCCGGGAGAAGGCCACGCGGGGCCAACCCACACTGTGCAGCCCCCCTCTGCTGCTGTGTCTGTCACTAAGGGGTCAGTAATTTTGTGACCTCTGTCTTTGGCAGGTAGAAGGCCTGGTCTGCTCATTATGGCCTGTTTATTACTCATGGAGGATGCAGACAGCAAGGCCTCTGGGGTGACCCTATGAGTTCCACTCAGATTTGCCCGTCTGCTCCCTCGGAAGCTGCCATCAGGCCACAAGCCAGGGACAGAGGATTGGTCACTCCTGACACCCACGCACGCTGGTGGGACTTGGCGCCACGTCCCTGCCCAGCCCCCACCATCAGGGTGGGTAAGAAAGGCCTCTGGGTGGCTGAGGAGGGTCACTCACATCATGCTCACTGCGGATGGCACCTGGGGCGGTGCCTCAGATGGCGTTCGCTGCTCGATTCCCCAGGTGGTCCTTTCTCTAATCCTGCAAATCCCTCCCCACCTACCAACTGCCACACGCTTCCCCAGGATGTGCTGGTCCTTGAAACTTATCCTCCACACTTCATCTGACGGCAGGACACCCACAGGAATGGTCCAGCCACCCTTTCTCCACGGGGAAATCACTCCACACCAGTGAGCGGGCCCATCCTGCTTGCGTTCCCCCCAAGAGGAGCCGGCAGAGGAGAGCAGACCACACCTGAGACCCACAGTCCTGATGCTGGCTGTGTGGCCATGGGAACATTGCTTAACCTCTCTGTGCCCAATTCCTACATGGGAATCGTGTAGGTTGCTTGTGATGCTGACAGGGGAGGATGTGTGGACGGCACTGAGTGCTGGTACCCAGTAGGCGCTCAGTAAATGCTGGCTGTTGTTTCCACTCGGCATTAACGCGACTCTCTCGCCCTCACCTGCCCCAGAGAGACGCCGGCAGGGCCTCACTCACCTCTAGCAGCTGCACAGCGCCTTCATGTTCTTTCTTAGCTTCAACCTGAGCCTTTTTATGATAAAAAGAAAAAAGAATAAACGTTTAAAGGTGGGAAAACAAGAGAATCAGATCAAAGCCTAAATTATCAGGGAGTGGGTCACTGACCTTCATCCCCTGATAAGCCTCTAAATTCTAGGGGTCTTAATCGGTTCTCATTTTTCTCATCCTTATCTTGGGCAAGATGGAGTGGATTTTGGTTGGGTTTGACACTGTTTGTAAAAACACTCTTTGCACCCTGATCTGGCAGAGGACGGAGAGGCTGGTGGGCGTCAGCGGGGCGTGAGGGGGAGGCTGGCTCTGTTCCTGAGAAGGGGTCGAATGCAGAAGGCGTCGAACCCAGAGCAGCAGGATAACTCCTCCCACAGCCTCGGGTGGTGCCATCACTTCCCCAGACATCTTAACTGTCTGGGGACAAAACACAGTCACACGAACTCGACCCCCAAATAGCTCCAGGTCGGCGGAGATCTCACCAGGCCCTGGAGAGGCCGCGACGGGGGTCCTGAGCACCTCACAGGCTCCCAACAGTTCAGCCCAAGGTAGGGGGGCTGCCCGCTTCAAATTACTTGAAGCCAAGCCACCCGCTCCACAGAATAAGACATTTCACAAGTTTCACTAAAGACATTTCTCAGGATGGCTGCTGCCTGGGCCAAATGGCAAATTCACACAAAGCTGGATGCAACATCATTATTTCTTGTCCATATGTACTCTGAAGCTCCAGCATTGTGATGACTGAATATCTGTTCGTTGGCCTGCCGGGCATTCATGTCCTTCTCTCCTGGGAAGAGTCCCTGAATTTGCCGGGGACCCAGCACACCCATACTGAGCCCATGAGTTCAGTTCTGGACTCTCGGTGATTGGTTTACAGCAGGGTGGACGGCCCGAGTAGAGCAATGAGACTTTGTCTGAGAATGCTGGGAGAGAGGAAGGCCCCTTGCCTAGTGGATTTGAACCTGAGTGGAGGGGAATTTGGAGCAGCTGCAGACATGTTGCCACCATGAGGGGCGAGGCTACAGCAGCCAGGGGCCTCCACATGGAAACCAAAAACGAAGCCAACACAGGAGAGAGAGAGGCAGGATAGCAACCAAGGTCTGATGGGATTTTGGGGGCACTGGACTCAGCCATATCTGAGGCTGGATGGTCTGGGCCCTGCTTAGCCATATCTGAAGTACACAACTAAAATTCTCTTTTTGTGTTTTCTGTCACTTGGAACCAAGAGTCTTACGGAATATGATCGTCAACTGTTAAAGAACGTGACACTCCCCATTTTAAAGCTGGAGACACCGAAGTTCAGTATGAGTCTATGTCATAAGACAGAAGAAAAGCCTGCACCACAGCCCACGTTCATTATCCCGTCAAATTTGTTTTGCTGGTCTCACAAACGTTCCCAATGAAGCAGAAAAACACGAATTTTTAAAGAGGATTATCTCCTACGGGGCACCTGCCTTTTAAGATATCGAGCACTAATAAAGAACCCATTACATTAAATTGAGATTTACATCTAGAATTCTGGGTTCTGGAGGAATATTTCCTCCAGGGGCCTGGAGACGGATTAGCAATGGATTATTCAACATCATAAACAAGCCAACGAGCCTCATCTTAGCAGCTTCTGCTTCTCACTCGAAAACTACTGTGGGTGGGGAAGGGGGAGGGCTTGGCTTCCCCAGCACAGACCAGAAAGGAAACATCATCTGAGCTGTCTGTGGCGTTCATACACAGGCGTTTCGTTCTCACAGATTCCAATGAGGTTTTTAAGAGCCGAGGAAGAGAACAGAACACAGCAAATTAATTACACCATTCTTGAATTCAGCTCCATCTTCAAACGCTTCAAATTGTTCCTTTCAAAGCAAAAACCACAAGAGTGACAATAAATAACAAAATAGGAAAAAAAGACAAACGACGAGAGAACATATAGGGATTATATAAATAACACCACCATTGAGCCAGCGAGTGGAAGATCGTTTTCAACCCGCAGGATGAAAAAACAACAGAACACTCCAGCGCGGGCTGTTAGAACCCAGCCAAGTTGGCAAGAACAACTTCGTTTCCGGCTTCAAGTGAAAATCAGGAGTTCGTTTTCGTAGGCTACTTGCAAGCTGGGCCGTTTGGGCAATCAGAATAGATTGTTAACATTAACAGTTCAAATTGGCAGTGCTGAATTCTTCCAAAAACCTGAGCAACAGCTTCAGCGAGGCTCATTTTGGGGGCCAGTGTCAATCTGTGGAGAAGCTGTGACCTTCGTTTAGACACGATTTCTGACAGAGCACAGTGAAACTGGAGAGGGACCAGGGCTCTCAGGGGCCCAGAGGCCTGCTGTCAGAAGAAGAAGCCTGTCATCCAGGGGGCCGAGTGTCCAGGGGGTGGGTTAACATGGAGCAGATGCAGTGATTTCAAGGGAGGCACAGGTGCACAGAAGGGACGGTAGGTCTCCTGTTGGCAGAGTTCTGGACGTTCGGCTTAGATAGACCGGGCACTCAGGACAGTTGGCCACCCAGCACCACGGTGACTGGGCTGGGATGATGGATGCCGGTTAGGATGGAGCAGGGTGAGTGTCATCTATGGATGCTGATAATGTCAGCTCCACAGAAAAGCAAATGAGATTTATGGAGCTGGGTTGAGGGCTGTAAGGACCCTCAGAGCCGGCCCCTGAGTCCTGCAGCCCTGGGGAAGCAGATGGACATACGCCATCATTCCAGGAGCGTGTTGTGGGAGAAAGCAAGACCCAGGCTGATGCTGCACTGAATGAATGCAGAGGCTCAGTCTGTGATCCCCTCGCCATCTACACACAACAACTAAATCCCAGCGTCCAGGGGAGGCCCTTGAAGTGTAGGCAAAGCATTGATTATGAAGTGCATGGCGAGTTCTCTTAGTACCTTAGCTTCTCCTAGTATCGCACATTTCAGTCACAGCCTGAAAACCAAGAGCAATCACTTCACTCCGGAGAGACTGTAAACAACAGGACAACCAGTCAGGTCTGCAGATGGACTCTAACTGTGGAACCTCCTTTGCTTGTACCCTGGATCATTAGAACTGCTGCTCGTAATCGACAAGGATTAACCTGCACAAGAAACTGAGACTCTGAGGAACAGGAGCACTGGACCTGGTCGCCGTTTACCTCAAGAGAAGGCACCAGTTTCGGAGTCAGACCCCCCAGGGGACCTGGAGCACTTTCCTTAACCTCAGGAATCTCATCTGTCATGGGCCTGCACCCCACAGGTTATGGTGAGGGCTGACGGGTGTCTCCACTGCTTTCCTCATCAGGCATTGACGGAATATTGCTTAGAATCTATCAATGGTTATCTTAGTAATATTACTTGAACCACAAACCGCATCAACTGACAGAAGCTGCTAGATCTCCCCTTCCTTCCTTCCTTCAGTCCTTCCGTCCTTCCTTCCCTCATTTCTTCATTAATTCAGTGCTCTTGAGCACTTCATTCACTCAATACTTGTTGAGTACCTGCTCTGTGTCAGGCAATGCTCTAGGAGTGCAGACACTCCCCTCTGCAGACAGACAACAGGCAAATAGATAAAGAAGTGAGCGAGCGCATTTTGGCATCACTAAGGGGGGTGATGTGGCAGAGAGCACGGGGCAGGGAGTGGAGTCCATCTAGGCAGGTGGCCGGGCAGAGACTTCAATGACAAAAGTCAGGCAGCTCTGCCTGGGGACCAGGCATTCTGTGCGAAGACCAGGAAGGGGGATGGTTTTATGTGGTCGAGGGACAGAGGGGGCCAGTGTGGCTGCAGCAGGTGGAGAGAAGGGCGGGTGGGAGGAGAGGGGGAGGCAAAGGCAGGCGAGGGATTAAAGGAGGTGACACGTGCATTCTAGATGCTGGGCCCGGAACATTCTACACTTAGAATAAACGTTCACAGGGCAGGTTTTATTACTGTTGTCACTGTTCACAGCCTGTTCTCACCCAGTCTTCCTGAAGGCCATGTCCCTAGCCCCTGAAACATTGCTGACACAAGGTGCTGAAGAGCTGTTTGTTGAATGAGTGAAAGCAAGGATTCTCAACTGAGCTCGGGGCTCCGTGATCTCCACGAAGCAGGGGTCCCACAGGAGAGCCAGGGGGCCATGGTGGCCGGTGGGTGGGCGGGCGCTCTGCTTGGCTGCCTTCTATTTTTTCTAAACTATGCCTTCAACAGTGCCCAGAGAAAAGGGTTGGCTGGACGGACGTATCTTACCCCATCCCCACTAGAACAGCCTTGGGCATTTGGATCGTTTGTTCATTCGTTCTTTAATTCGACGCCTGTGTTCACTGGCACGTTAGTTCGCTCGCTTCTCCCAACCACCATATTGGGCAGAGAGACGAGCTGAGCTTGCAGAGAGAGGGAGGCACCCGGAGAAGGTGCTGGGTTCCGGGTCCCTGGTATCAGATGGATGAATGCCGGCACTGCCTTAGGGTGGCCAGGTCTAGAGGTGAGGCTGAAACCACAAAGGAATTTCCGAGTCCTGTAAAATGTGGCAAAACCCACCTCTATGGCATGGGAAAACATACTCCTGGCTGACTCACACACCGTACATGGAGAAGAAGAATATTACGGATCCAGGAAGCAGAGGGTGCAACAAAGCACAGCGAGGTGTGAAGGTAACACCCGAGACGACGGTGAAGGGGACTCCCAGGCCCCGCTCAGCCTCAGGAGCAACAGCCTGGCCTAGAGCAAGGGCCAGGGCTCCAGGCGGGGGTCTCTCAGGGAAGAGGAGTGAGAGCATCCCCTGGGGAGTGGGGCCATCTTGAGAGGAATTTTCGCTCTGCCAGAGAGCTTGGGAATAAGGGAGACGGGCACGCGGAGACCTAAGCAAGCAAGCAGAACGAGGTGATTACTGGCAGGGAAGAGAAAAAGTTGTACGAGAAGGAAATGCTGCCATTGCAGATCCTGGGGGGACACGTGAACAGCAGTGTTGCTGAGGATAGGGGTCCAGTGTGGGACATGATGTTTGAGATCATCCAGGGGGCGACATGCAGGGGAAGGTTGGATAGAAGAAGTGGGGTTCAGAGGCGGGATCTGACTTGGAGTCTAAATTTGGGGGTGGCCACACATAGATGGTATTTAAACCCACAGGAGCAGACGAGGTCGCTGAGGGAACAAGTGTACACAAAGAGATGTGGCTTGCAGACCAAGTTTTGGGGTACACCCATGATGTTTAGGGGGGATCTGTGTCAAAGGAGGAAAACTCAAAAGAGGATCGTGGCCTGGAAGCCTGCAGGGGTAGGGATCAACTGCCTCTGGGTCAATGAAGGGGCTGAGAACTAGCCACTGGGCATGACTTCCATGCACGGTGACTCAACATGAGCCGCCGTGTTGACAGGGTGAGGCTGGGGGACCCGCTGGAGTGGGCTCAAGCGGAAGCTGCAGTCAGAGAGAAGAGGCAGCTCTTCAGAGATATCTATACTGCTGTCTCGTGAGGAGCATCTTTGGACCTCAGATAGTTCTGGGGACTTTTATCGTGGTAAGGGGACAAGGGCCAGACTTTGGTCGATCCCTAGCCTTACAGTGGAGGCATTATGGCTTAGTGGGTTAAGTGCAAATCCAGTCTGTACTGCTTACTAGCCAGGTGACGTTTGGTTAAGTTACTTCATCTCTTTAGTCTTCAGCTTCCTCCGTTAGGAACCCGGATGATAATAACAGTATGGTTCCTAGGGTTCTACTGGGGACTAGGCAAGATGTTGCACGTTATGAAGAGTCCCCGGCACCCAGGTGATACCTAGTCTATTTTTGCGTAAAAATGTCATTTGTCTCCTTAGCACTCCCTGAACACTCTGATGTCTTCCCCCAAGACGTCCCAGGTCAAGACAGGCAAGTCTTAATACCCTGTCCCACGCCCCCCACAACCTGTGGACGGGGTCTGTGCCACCCCTGCAGGGTTACACGTAAAGAAAATGCCCCTTCACTCTGTTTTTCTCAGAAAATGAAAACACGGAGATGCCTGCTGGCCTGAGAGCACTACGGTGTCCATATATGTTCCTCCCTTTATAACTCGGAGCCTCTCCTCCCTCCTCTGAAAATTCCCCACTAGTAAACTCAGCTGAGCACATCTGAGAGAAACCGTGTGTGTTGGGGCTTCACAGAACTCTGAGATCTGAAAATTCAGTTTGTGGTTTTTTAGTGCATAAAAGAGAGGAGTTTGACCAGACTGATCCCTGAGTTGCAAACACACACACACACACACACACACGCACCCCCCTCCTATCTTTCTGTTTGTGTGAACAGTTTAAGCTAAATTAAATCACCACTCCCTGTTGGAATAACTTGACTATAGTCATGGCTGTCAATGATTTTTTAAACTTTCCACACAATCAGAAAAACGTGCATTTCACAAGCGTACGTACATCTCAGTGCCCCTGTGACTGAATTTCGATGGATCCAGAACAAATCAGCTGTGGTGGACCGTCCCTCCTGCCCAGACCTGCACTAATATTTGAAGACTGAGATGCCGAGTCAGCCTGGAGCCTCCTCTCCTTCATGCCCCGCCCCCCACTGCGGCTCTGACCACCCACCCTGAGCAAACTTGATTAACTCCCCCTCCTAATCATTACTGAAATTAACACTGCCGCCACCCCAGTCCTAGATGCCAGGCTTCTCAGTGTGGTTCACCAGCCCCCTCGCTCCTCCACAAATCAACCCCGAAAAACAACCAACGTGATTTTCCAAGAATTGAATTAGATCCCGTTATCCTGTTTCATCCCTCTAAGGGCTTCACTCTCCCTTGGAACGAAATCAGGCTCCTCCCTACAGCTGTAAAGCCCCAGGAGTCGGTCCTCTGCAGCATCTCCTGCCCACATCATACTGCCTGCCTCCCAGCCCCGGGCCTCCCAGCCCCGGGCATCCCAGCCCCGGGCCTCCCTCTCTCCTGGCACGCGGGCTGCTCCCTCCATGGGACTTGCACTCTCGAGGGCCACGCCTGCTGCTCCTTTAAACGTCACCCCATTTAAAGCCGTTGTCCCGTCAGTCCATCACTTCATCCTGTTTGTTTCCTTCACGGCACTTTCATGATCTAAACTTAATTAATTCTTCATCTACTTGTCCACTTACTCTCACTCTGGGGGGCAGAGGCCCGGTCTTTCTCGCCACTGCGTTCCTGGTTTCCAGAACAACGGCTGAGTGGCTGACACATAGGTAACAGACAGCCGTTTGCTGAATGAATGAATGAATGAACGATAATCTCAGTCAGCAAGTGCAGCATGATGGCCGTCCATGGTGGAAATCAAATGGAAATGAGAACCTGGAAAGAATTTGCCAATCTCGTTCCACTCAAGGCTCAACCTTCCTCTTCTAACGCTTTTTTTAAAAAATCAGAGCTCTAAGAAATCACAGAATTGGCACATTTGTATTTCATTAGTGTCTCTTCCTCTGCTCCCCACACTGAAGAAGCATCAGTGTATCCAAAACAGAGACAATGATGGATGCAGGGAAAAAGGCGCGAAGGGAACTGGATGATGCGCAGAGGAGAGTATGGGAGCTGCATAACACCATTGGCTCGAGTGCATTTTCCTTGGCACCAAATGATTGGTAAATAAAACTCCAGGCTCCTAGAGAGGCTCTGTTGAAAAAAACCGACCTGTCACCCCGGCTGGACAATATTTGTATTTCTGCAAGCTTGTGATCCATCTCAGACGCACCCAGCCTGGGGACATGGCGTCTGAGGTGGCAGAGAATGAGCGCAGGTATCATTCGGGCATCTCCCGGGCACTGGAAGCTTTTGCACAAGGGGAGAAGATAAGAGTAATATTGCTGCCTGTGTCCAGTAATATCCTTTCTGGATAACATCTAATGAAACATTGCGTCTCAGTGTTCCAGCCAACGTATTATGACAGGTAATAAGCACGGTGACGGTCCCCATCAGTGTCAGCTTAATGAAGTCTGTCCTTAATATGAGGCCTCGATAAGTGATCAGAGAAACAGCGTCAGCAGTTATCTGCCTGATGCGACCGGCTCTGCTAATAAACTCGGGAGAAAACACTCCATCCCACAGATGCCTGTCGCCAGCCAGGTGGGGCCAGCAATCATGTGACTTGATTCTGAGATCAAAGACCTGGAGAGGCTGTCAGATGGCGGAGGGGCCTAGCCAGGGGGAGGAGGAGGGGCCTGCTGCCCATCCCAGCCACGCCTGGTGGGGCTGCGGGAGAGGACCTGCGCCAGCGGTCCAGCTCAGGAGGGCCCCCCACAGGCCAAGTAGAAGCCTGCGGCCTGTGTTTCCATTTGTCTGTCCACCTCAACTAGATGCTCTGGCTGAAGGGCTGGCTGCCCTCGGGGGAGGAGCAGGCAGGGGCGGGTGGGGGACACTGGGCTTCAGGACGGAAATACTGCAACAACTATACACAGGGACCCCAGCCCCAGGGCTCTGAAAGGGACCCTCACACCCATTTGGAGAGAGACAGAGGAGCAAGGCTGATGACTGAAGATGGGGGCGTTAACTTTCCCAGCCTCCCTCACATCACAGGTGCTGTGGGGACACATGTGCAACCAGTCAGTCCCTCCTCCTCCCCTCCCTCCAGCTTCTCGTCTTTCTTCTTCCTCTCTTCTTTCCTCCATTTCTCTCCTTTTCTTTCTGCTTTTCGTGTTCTCTCTTTCTCTCCCTCTCTCTCTGTCTCTCTCCCCTTCTCTCTCTCTCTTCCTTTATTAATGAGATCGCACTATAAATATTGCCCTGAATCTTGATTTGCTCATTTAGTAACATATCATGTGAATCTCCCCGAGAGAGCAGATACAAATCCAAATTATTCCCTTTAATGACGTCATCCCGGTCATGGTGTGGATGTACCTCGACTTACAGGAGCATGCCCTTGGATGGACATTCAACTTAATCCAGTTCCCCGTCCCCTACCCCTCACAGCAGCACAGCAAAAAACACCCAAATCCTTTTGAACTGGTTCCCACGCTTCTTGAGGGCACATTCCCAGGACGGAAGGTTGCAGGGTCAAAATATATGTGTGTGTTTGCTTTTAACTGATGCTGTCAGGTTGCTCGCCCCCACAGCGGAAGCGATTCACCCGCTGTCAGCGTCCACAGGAGTGTCCTCTTCCCTACGATCTCGCCAGCATCGGGGGTTCGAGCTTTCCGTCTGTTTTTGCAGTATAGAGCACGAACACACGTCAACTCAGGAGGAACTAGGGGCACAGGGAGGCGCAGATGACCAGATCTCTCCAGGAGGGAGCGGGAGGCGCCCTGGAGCCTGTGAGGTCTCAGGGTGAGCAGCCAGCCCCACCCCCCCCCGAGCCAGCGCCCCTCTCGGGCCCCCCAGCCCACGGCCCGCCCCCTCCCTCCGCCCCCAGCACCCAGGCCCGCTTACCTTCTGCAGAAGGTCGATTTCCTGCTGCTTGGCCTTGAGAACAGCCAGCGCTTGTTCATGCTCCAATTCCAGCTGCTGCCGCCGCTCCGCGGCCTCTCGCATGTGCTGTGGGGGACAGGGCAGGTCAGGCCAGGCGCAGCAGGGAGTGGGTCTGTGCGCATGGCGAGCTCCCCACTCTGACTCACCCGCCTGCTCCAGGGCACCACCCCACCCCGCTCCCGGGCTCTTCCTGAGGGTGGCAGGAGGAACCGGGAAACCCTGGTACTAACAAAGCTTCCACCTCCTGTTTTTGCTTTTTATGTTTTAAATGCCACGGGCATTGGAGCAGAACTAGAGGTTCTCATGCAGAGGTGAGTTCCTCTTTCTCCTTGTTTGGAAAAAATTCTCTCTCTCTTCTCTCCATTTTTTCCCAGGTCTTCTGAAAACAACAGCCAAGGATTATCAATCTTTTCCCGTGTACTGAGTATTGTCCCAAGCTTTTTACTGCTATTTAAATCATAAAGTCCTCATCATAATCGCAGGACGCAGGTGCCATAACTGGCCCATTGTACAGAGGGGACACCGAGGCTCAGAGAAGCTGTCCTTGCTGGTCACACAGCAGGTAAGTGTGTCTAGGACTCAAATCAGAGGCTCTCAGTGGAGCCTCTGAATCGCAGGGTTTGGTCCCGTCTGCTCGCTCTGCTCAGCCAGGGTGCTCAGCCCCCGCAAGGGCCCTGCCGGCCAGGTCTACTTTCTGGAGCAGAGACGGGGCGTGCTCCCCGCTGTGCTCTCCTCGGGACACCCCATCTGTCCTCCACGCAGAGTGGAGCTCCGCCCCGAGAGCGCCAGGACTGGACCCTTTCCTCTCACTCCGAGCATCTCCCCACCTCTGACGACTCCTCACCAGCCAGAGTCGCCCCCAAAGAGCCCAGCAGTGAGGAGCAGAGGCCACCAGGACCGCGAGGCTGTGAACAGTGACACCTACAAGCTCTGGTGTCTTGAGGAAATGCGCGAAAAAGACCCGTGTGGGAGAAAGGCGCGACGCGGGGCCGGCTTTCACAGGGCGGGTAGTCGCACGAGAATTTCACGTGGCCTACCCACCCTCCTAAAGGGCTCGGGAACCAGGGCCACAGCATTTGTATTTAGTTTTCATTTCCTTTCCTTTTTTTTTGTATAATGAAATATGTGCAAAAGGCGACTTAGCAATCAACATTTAAAAATCTGGATCTTTGATATAAAAGTCCAGATTCCTTCAAAAATGGGAAGGTTTAGCCAGGCATTCCACCTGGAAGCAGCGGGCAGAAGCGGAGTCAGAGCTCTTCCCTTCATGGGACACATGCCCTCCTGTCTGCCACTGTCCCCATGGACCAGCGTCTCCTCCACATGGCCTGACATGTGAGGATGACTGTGGCATAGAGAGGGGAGGCACCCGACACGATGAGGGCACCTAACGTACCTTCCCCCTTGGCTTGGATTTGTTAGTGACTTATTTTCATTGTTATTTAAAAATTTTATTGTTTAATTCTTTCACTTATTTTTATTCCCCAGGCTGGGGAAGTAGGCGTGGGGAGATAAGGTCAGAGGGCAGAGGGGCAAATTCTATTCTTTTCACCATTTTTGCAAAGTCCACCCCACCGTCTGCCTCCAAAAGCTCCTTTCTTCTGGGAGGGGTCTTGGAGTGGAACCATTTCAGCTGCAGATGGTGAAGGTCTCGGTTTTCACAAAGTTCTGAGGTTTGTCTGCATTGAAAAAGTGAAGTCTCCCCCCGTGCTGGATTTGTCTCCGGTTCTGAGCTGAAGAACCTTCAAGTCCCCTCTTCCATCACCGGAAAAGGATTCGAGTTCACTAGGAAGCTGCAATTACCCGGCACCTCGGGAGACAAGTGATGGTTTCACTGTTGCTGTGGAAACTTGCACTAGAACCAGGGATCCCGGGAAAACAGAACCCCCCAAAATACGAACAAAGTCCCATAAAACGTGGAAGCGGGCGTGTCTGTCAATTACTCTAACCCATTCAGGTCGGGCCGGAATGGCTCGTTCGTGTCTATCTGTGGGCAGGACAGACAGAGAAAGAGCACATGTGTCCTCGTGCTCCGGCCTCTGGCCTGACCAGCTCCCGCCTTCCTGGGCAGGAGAGTGTCATTTGTTGTGTGGCCCTCCTAGGAGCCAGTCCTGACTGCTGCTCTCCTGGCCCTGCAGAGCTGTGATCACCAATTTGGGTCTAGCAATTCCTAACGATCTCTTACGACAGACTCCACTCCCACCTGCCCACCTCCAGCCCACCGTGATTACAAACCCAGGCACAGGACACAGGGCATGCTTAGGAGCATGGGGACATGCCACTAGGACAAACTGACAGAGCCACCAGGAATTCTCTGCGCTTCTGAGACGCTTCGGGAATTCTTCCCCAAACACTGCACGCTGATTGGGAGGGCTGTGACTTTTCTCCGGCGTTCGGCTTCTTCTTAAGGTACCGAGTTACTAACACTGCTTGTCCTCCACCTTCACGGGGTCGCCGCCGGGTGCAGGGACTCCTCTGTGTGAGGCTTTCAGATCTAAGAGGAACGTTTCTATTCCATTTCTTCCTTCTGTACATTTGCTCAATCAGCCAGCACTTATGGGGCACCTGCTATGCACAAGCAGCTAGGCAGACAGAGCAGCAGGAGTCTGCCTTCAGGAACGGACCCTGTGACACGCAACAGCAGAGGAAGGAGGCACCACCGAGTAAACAAACAAGAAAACGTCAGCTTGTAGCAGAGGTGTGCGGAAGACCCACTGAATTGCTGTTCAACCGCTGTTCGCTTACAAGAATGGCGACTTCACACAGCCCAACACTGATACCGTTTCAGCCTGGTACCGTGATGAAATGCCCGTGTAACGCGATGGTGAAAATTTACTCACTCACTCATTCATTCATTCAGTCATCAAATAATTACCAGGTCTTCGTTATGCCCAGGCCCATGCTGGGCTCTGAAGGCAATAACAACACACAGCAAACAGAACCAGCTCTCCCGGGGCTCACGTTCTAGTGGGCAGACAGACCACATCCACGTCCATTCAATAGTATGTAGCGTGTCAGGTGGTCCTAGGTGTCAGCGTGGGGACACGTGGAGCTGCAGGGCGGCAGGGGCTCACGGGGTTGAGTGAGGTGTCTGCAAGCTGCCCCGAGCAGACGGAATGATGGCTGAGACCGAGGCCAGTGAAGGGCGTCGGGCTGGCTGTGGGGGGTCTTCCAGGCAGGGGGAGCACGGTGCTGCGATGTTGCCCATTCTCACCTGGACGCGGCACTAAGTCAACTGCCAACAGGGCTGTGAGGGTGTGAAGACTGCACTGAGCTCCCAGAAGCCTCCGGAACATTCCTCCACTCAGACACTGGCTCACTGCTTGGGCGATGTCCCGCAGGAAGGAAAGATGTGCAGGGGGAGGGCTTTCTCCTCCATTGCTTCAAGGAGGAGCATCTTTCAAGAGTATCCGGGACCACGTCAACTTCGGTCTCAGTGGTCAGAATTGGCCAGATGCTCAGCCTGGGGCTGATCTCTGGGAGCCAGCCCCCTGAAGGGTCTCTGCACACAGAAGGCAGGTCAGGTCCTTTCCTTGCTCAGAACCCCCCTGTGGCCCTCATCGCCAGGAGTAAAACCAGGGGGCTGCCGTGGGGCTGCAGGTCCTGCTTCCTGCCTCCTCTCTGACCTCACTTCCACCATTCTCCATCTCTTCTCTCTGCTGTGGACACCAGGGATTTCTTGCTCTTTCCAAAGACCAGGCAAACCTCCGCCTCAGAGCCTTTGCACATACTGTTCCCTCGGTCAGCCACACTCCTCTCCCAGATACTGGAAGAGCTGTTCTCTCAAACTCCAGTCTTTGCCCAAATACCCCCTCTCAGTGAAGCCCCCTGGTCGCCATACTTAAAAGAGTGGCCCACCGCCCTCCTCAGCCCTCCTTATTCTCCAGCTGTTGTAATGGGCTCCAGAGTGCTTACCGCCATCTAATACACCATACACTTTACCTGCACACCGTCTGCTTCTCCACCCTAGGATGCGAACCCGTCCCCGGCTGTGGTTCCTGCCCCTGAAAACTCGCTCAGCACAGAAGCCAAATCCTCAGTGTTGCCTACACGGCCCTTTGGGATCTGCCCCTGTGACTTCTCGGAGCTCAGCTCCCCCTCTCCCCCTCGCCCACTCTCCCGCCACTGTGGCATCTCCCAGCTCCTGGAACTTTCCAGGCTTTCCCCGTCAGGTGCTTACAAGCACAGATGCCACAGTGACGGTGGATGTGTGCTTCCGGCATCTCAGGTCAGCAAAGGGTGGAGTGCAGTGTTTAAGAGCCACACGGCCTGGGTTCAAATCCCAGCTCTGCTGCCTCCCAGCTCTGTAACCCCGGGCTAGTGACTGAACCTCTCTGTGTTCCATTTTCTCCTTCTGGATAAATTATTCATCGGCATTATTATCAACGTGTAAACGGTTAATTAATTAACAGTTAATTAAATAACTAATGTTGGTTAGTTAATTATGAATTAACACCTGCTTTCTAGAGGTGTCTTGAGCATCACACGAGTTAGAATGGTACCTGGCATCAACTAGGTCCTGCGTTATCTTCCACTCTGAATATAAGAAAGCCCCGTCCCGCCGACCCTGCGCAGTGGTATGTAATACCGCATCATGGAACGCTGCTCTGGAAAGAAACTCCAGGTGCGTGGGGGAGGCAGGACGTACGCTGTGACCAGGGTCTCTGCCAGCAGGACAACGAGCGACTAGGACGATGGCATTAGTGAGACGACGGTGATGAAGGAGAAGATGTACGGGGCGGGCGGGCGGCCTAGTGGTGCAGTGGTTAAGCTCGCGTGCTCCGCTTCGGCGGCCCGGGGTTCACAGGTTCAGATCCCGGGTGCAGACGTACTCACTGCTCATCAAGCCATGCTGTGGCGGCGTCCCATATAAAGCAGAGGAAGATGGGCACGGATGTTAGCCCAGGGCTAATCTTCCTCACAAAAAAAAGAAGATGCGCTACCATTTGTTAAGCGCGTGCTGTGTACCAGGCACTCTCCGGTCCCCACACCATCGCGTCTAACGCCGAGAGCTGGGTGCGGTGGTAACTGTTTTACAACAGGCAACAGTCTCAGGGAAGCTGAGA